TTTGTTTGTCGGGCACTTTCAAAGCAACCGCCCGCCGCACACCAAGTAACCAATCAGACTTCCAAAAACCAAGAGGTATGTGCGGTTTTCTCGTAAAGACTGTCCAGAGTGAGGTTGCGAGGTGAAGCTCACTCCCAGCGTTCCGGCGCTGAGGCGCACCAGCTGTGTTTATGGACTCCCACCGCACCTGCTGGGGTTACCCAGCGAGTGCGCTGAGGGATTAAGCACAGGGCAGCGGGGGGGGTAAAGAGGGCGGGAGCGCCGGGCCCGGTGTGAAGGAGGCACGGCCGGCACTTCCCCGGTGCCCCCGCAAAATCTCAGTGAATCGGGGTGGGTATGGAAACGGTGTGCGGCGGAAAACCCCTCCGGCGGTTGAGAGTCGGGGGTGCGTTTTGCTGTCGCGCGCTCCTCCTCCATGACAACGTTGACATTTTACTGATGAATGTCGGCGGCCGGCGTGGAAACGCACCGCTCGGGATTTCTGGTGATCACCGGAGATGGATTAGGAAAGGCGGCTTTCAAATTGAACGGAGGTCTCCCCCGCCCGGCCCGCCAATTGTGCCATTTGCCAGCACTTGAGTCGCTGACCGCCACCATTTAGTCAAACTAATGATGATGCACAGTCAGAGTCATCCCCTGATAATTAAACCCGGGCTCCATCTCTTCTTTGGTATTAGCGTTTTTTTGGGTTTTTTTTTGGGGGGGGGGGGGCTGTAGCAAATGAACAGTCGTGCAGGAGAACAAATTGAGTCACTTAGTTCCTTTAAATTACTGGTGGTGGGAAATAAGCAGTCCCCCCGCACCCCCTTCCAAAATCCATTTCCTGTCACTTGTTATTGATGATGCCAACTTGACATCCTTGTTTTGGGGGTTCGGGCAGGTGCGCTCGCTCATCAACACATTCTTGTCGTATAAAATGCAGATGTTGCATCGCAAGGGCTTCGTCCCACGTCAATTTGCGACATCATCATCCGGATGCATTTCGGCATCATTTCCACCACGGCTAGTTGTGGACTAGAATATTTCCCGAATGCTATTTTTCTCTATTTATGAAGACGGGGGGGTAGGGGTGAAAATTTGGCTACTTTCATGTCTAAAACGTACTTACTCGACTCCATTGTTTGTCGTGCTGCGCTAAGAAATCTTTTGGAAACCTTCTGAACTTCATGCGATTGTAATTATAATTAAACTTTTCTTTTTTTATTTCCAAAATCGGAAGTAATTGCTAAGTTTTAATGTGCTAACTTGTCGTGCTGTCATGTGAAACTTCCCATGTTGAAATGTCATGTTGAGCTCATGTCAGCATCAGCGTCAAATTGGGGAAACTGGAGTCCTCGGACAAAAGGAGCGCCATCACCCCCTCCTCTCACAAAATAACCCCCCCCCCACTCCCCCAGCCTTTCTTCCACGCTATCCCGGCCTACTCTTGCTCCGTCACGTCAATTCCTCGGAGGGTTGGTGTGACAAACCGCTTGAAAGTTGCTTTGTCTCTGCCGCTTGTCACGTTCCACTCCTTCCTTCTCCTCCCTCCTGTTGTCTGCGCTGTCAGCCCGTAGCCTGGCACCTGCTCTCATGTTCCCAATTAGTCGCGTTTAATTAATGATGCGCCTCGCCTGATCGCCGGAGATGACTTTGGAGGAAAGGCCACTTCATTAGGTACAGCCGCGCAAGGGACATGACCAAGCGTTACGCTGATGATAAAAAGAAGGGCAAAAAGATTTCTTAAGTGACCCCTAAAAATTGGCAGTGCGAGTTGAGTGCAAGGGGATGCTGGCGTGGAAACGAACCAAGTGTTTGTAAAATGCAGTTTTCAAGGCAACGGTCCAATGAGAGGCGACGCAACAGCCCGTCGAGTTGTTTTGGGAGGCGCCGGCGTGACAAGCGATCGCAAACCAAAATATTTGTCTTCTCCCGCTTGGACTGCGCTTGCTTCCTGGAGGACCTGTTTGCGAGAGACTCCATGACAAGAAGTCGAGTTGACGGGCCCGGAGTGAGGCGGTTAAATGCCCCCTCGCCGCTCTGGATAACTCATAAATAAAGTACCAGGGGAGTCCTGTCATGGCTTCCTCTAGGACTCCGGTGCGCTAAAGCATTAAATGACCAATTCCTTGTCAGATCAACCCACCACCACCACCACCACCACGTGCCCACGCGCCCGTATCGTAGCTTTCTTTCCGACGAGAGACGCTTTGCCGCCCCTTTTGCAGCGACTGATGGCTCAAGTTCATTTCTGCCGAATTAATTGGTCCCCGAATGAATTGCGTTGACAGGGCAATTCATCATGCCTTTGACTCGACAGTGAGCGCGGCGGAGGAAGGTGCAAGTCTGGGGGTTACCGCGGGCAAGAAAATGGGGCCCGCCCTCCTCTCCAGTGTCTCTCCTCTCGTAATATTTCCCCGGCTGCCCCCCCCCCCCTCGCTTGCCAGGCCCTAACGCCGGGGCTGACAGCCGATTAGAGGGCCGGCCCTCTCTGTTTTGGAGGCTACCCCCCCCGCGACCCCATCTGCTAGCCCGTCAGGTTGTAAGCGCGGAATCAAGCGAGGCCTTAAATGCGCCCCGTGGCAAGCCACGATGCCATTAGGCTCGTTATTCGTGATCTTGGGGTTCGCCTGACCTCGACCTGATCCACTTTTGAAAAATGCATCCATTTTTTTTTTTCGTATTTACTTGGATTTTATGACGGGTGAAAGAATCTCATAAACAAGCTCGGCCGCCCCGTCGACACGTCAGCACAAACAGGTCGAACGCGCCGATTGATGAATGGCGGCGAATGGCGTGACATTTTGCCACCTCCGATTAGATACGGCGCATAAAGCGGCACATCCGTTCCGTCCTTCCCACCCAACAGCCGCTCCAGGGATATGAAAAGATGTGAAATGCATTTTCATAGTTCCACGCCGCCATCTCGCCGTGTCATGGGCGCTAAGAGAGGGAAGGAAAAAAAAAAAAAAAAAAGATAACAGCTCGAGGATTTATCGTGCATTTGACACGCCACTAACCAAATTAGCATTTGGCCGCGGCATCAGCATCTTCAGAGCGCACTCTCGTACACGCGGCGTGTGCAGTCAGCGGTTCGAAAGGTCAACCAACAGCGGTCCCGCCGTCGTCCCCGACTTCCTCCCGTGCTTGTGGCGTCTACCTCCCGGCAACACAAAGCAAAAGGAAATCGTATCGCCATACAAAGCATTTCTTCGTTGAATCGTCACAAACGAAGAGCTTTGTGCGTGTAGCGTTAGCATAGCGGCACGAAGCAAAATGCCAAATGTTATGCAACGATTGAAAGGCCGTACCGGTTTTGGCCTGAGCGTCAGTGACTAAGACGCCGGTGGGAATTAGCGATGGCTCGCTTCGCTCCGTGTGTGCTTTTGAGGCCGAGAAAATGGACTCATCCATTGTCCACTTATTTTCCAACGACGCACGAAATGTCCCATTAGCGGCCCCGGTGTGCCGTCACATGTACGCCGCGCGCTTTATCGCCTGCCCAAATCCTTCGCCTATTGCGCGCGGCTAATCGAGACGCTGTCCGCCGGCTGTAAATCAATAAGGACGTAACTAAGTCATACCAGGCGCGGGGATTACGGTGAGAAGAAAAGAGTGAAAATAAGCTTCCAGAGAGAGAGAGAGAGAGAGGGAGGGAGAGAGGGAGAGGAAGAGGGGGTTGGTCATGGAAGGATTTCGCGCATAAATCTCGCGGCTGCAACTGAAGCGCAAATTGAATTCCGAAGCGACGAGAGAGAGGAAAAAAATTAATTCGGCTTTACAAAAAAGCGGCGAGAGAGAGAGAGAGAGAGAGAGGTTAAACACTTGATTCGCTGCTTGCTGATCCGCGTCGGAGAAAACATTCCACGCCTCTGAGGCACGTGATGGCGCATTACACCTGAGAAGTCGCTTCGTTTGTCTCTAAACAGGCTCGTTCGACGCAGACATTTTCAAACCGGATTGATACTCTGAAGGAGCACAGAATAGATCACGACATCTGTCTTTCAGCCTTCGGCAACCTACGGCGCGTGGGCAAAATCTGGACCGTCGGAGCATCTGTTGCGGCCTCACGTGACATTCTAGTACCGAATTGTAGAGTGTTTGGAGTGCGCGGTTTTTGTTCCTTCTTTTTTTTCCCCCCAGATTTTGTCCAGATAGTCGCTCGTGTGTGTGTATGTATATGTATATGCCTAAAACTAAAAAAAAAAATCATAATTTATTAAATAACAACCATGTTTTAGGTAAAAGATTTCAGACACTTTTTTTTATTATTATTATACAAGTGTGACCAGCATGAATGAAAGACATAATACCCATGAACATGAAAGACAGTCCTTCCTGTATTTACAGTGTTTTCACACACACACACATACATACACTCGCACAAATGAACATGAAATCAACTCCACCCACTGTACCTTGAACAGCTTCATATGCATATGATGACCAATCGGCACTGCATAGAATGTATACATTTGGCCTTCCTTGGAAGCGTGTGGCTTGTCCCTAAAAATATGAATAATCATACCCATGAGAATCATCAGCATCACGTTCCTGACGCCAATCTCAGTGATAGGCGGCCTGGAAATAAACAACGAGAAGTCTTTGGCTAACGTAAACTACATTCAGTCAAAAACAAAACAAAAAAAAAAGACGTGTTGACGCAGAAGCTTTTGAATTTGTTTTTAAGGCATGGACGGCCTGCTTTTTGACTCTCGCCATGAGCGCCGACTTTTTTTCGTCATTTCTCACGAGTGTGTTTTTAGTGCATGTTGTCGAGACGTGTCGCTTTAAGTGCCAAACCGAACGCACGTACGCATTTAAGGATTCCTGCAGATCCAACAACGCTCCAGTGTTAGAAAACCTCTGAAAATAGTGCAAAATCAACGGCAAACGTAAGAAAAAGGACACAAAATGTTACCTTTCAAATCCTGACGCAGCACTTTAGTGATTGGAAAAAAAAAAAAAAAAATCATATCAATGGGAATACATCCACTTGCTTCCATGGCAATGCACTGCACTTTTTTTTTTTTTTTTTTTAACACGTTGATTGTGTATCACAGAGTCGTAATCTTCTCACGGCATTCCGCCATGCCGGATGATGGATGAATAGTGACTATGCAGCCGGCTCATCTCGCGGCGTTCCCATTTTAAGGGAGGAGAAATAGGAAAAAAAAAGGAAAGGCCGCCGCCGCCGCTCCATTTTGAAGCCCCAAACAGTCCCCGCTGAGAGCTGCCAAGCAAAGGAATGTACAGTATTGGTCCACGATGGCTGATTCAAATGTGTGTTTTTTTTTTCCTCTCACTTTTCTGCAAGCCTCGACTGTTCGGCAAGTCGAAGACGATCTTAAAAAAAGAACAAACCAAAAACGGCCAAAAAGTGGCCTGGTGGTGTGAGTTCGCTGTGCTCAAATCTGGAGGCTGAGGCGACGGTCCTGCAGGCTGATTTGGTTTCCATGGTAACTAGGGGCGGTCATAGGCAGCGGCAGCAGCGGGTGGGACGGAGCCTCTCGACGCGGCACTATAATAATAAGGGGAACCTGAAAGTTAACAGAAGAACGCAACATTTCAAACAAGGAGTGACAGCAACGTTGTTTTGGGGGGTTTAAAAAGTTCATTTTTTTTTGAGCGAGACTGCCAAGGACCAAAATGAACTTTTCGATACCTTTTTGCCATCATGAATAGTTTTCTGAATCATGCTTTTTGGATGACACGTGAGGTTAGCGAGCTTGTTTGCGGCTCATCTCAATCTAAAGATGTATAAGAAATGACTTTTTTGTTTTTTTAATATGCGTGCGATACATTTGCCAACTTATTCTTGTCGTTGTCGTGCGCCGTATGCCTTCAACATCGAGTGGTCAGTCCTTAAGGCTTTCCGTTACACAGTTGCCACTCGCCGAAAAGAATGCGGAGCGAGCTGTAAGCGAGCAAGCTACTCGGCGTGCCGAACTGTGCGCGGTACTCACTTAGTAACGCCGGATTGCTGAATCGCCAAGCTTCGTTGTAGGTGGTGTACTGCGGATGACTGTAGGGGTTCCCCGAAAACTCACTCCCTGCAAAACATCACCGCGGATCGATGAGCATTTCTTTTTTCTCCCCATTTCTCACGGCCAACGCGGAGGGCTGTTGATCGTCATCGACGTGAGAGCGTTCGGGCACCTCGTGTATTTCTTTTTCATTTGCTTGAAGTTATGCAACGGTGAACAATACGGGAGGTGACGCCGAGGCCGCCTTTCCGCGCGTCCCCTTTATGGCCGTCTCCCCGTTCTTCTTGCCCCGTTTTTAATTCCGAGCCGGTCTGCTAATAAACGGCTGGCGTTATTAATAAACCGTTTCATGCATACATTTTGGATTGGGTGGCATCAATCTCGCCGTGCGCCTTTTCACCGCAAAATTTCACGGGAGAAAGGCGAGCGTTGGCGAGCGCGACGGCGAGCGCGTCGACGCCTCGGCTTCCTTTACGAGACAATAAAGGCCGTCGTTTATATGAAGCCGCTGAGGAATGGCTTTGCTTTAACAGTGTTTGGCGCCCGACACTAAATCTCTTTCCTTGTGTGCGGGGCGAATGAGCTGGAACGTCGCACGACAACTGGTGTGTGGCGACAATGTTGAGGTGCGTTTGTCTTGGGGGTGCCGGTGGGGGCGTCGACTGGATTTTATTCGTCAAAGTCCCGCAAATCCAATTCAGGACTTTGCTACTTCCTGGGCGAGAGCGAAATTGTTTTTGTACGGAATGAATGGCGAAAAATGACGCGAGCTCGCACCTTCTCCTGGCTCAGCGACACGTGAGACGGCGCTGCGGGAAAAACGGGCAATCCGTTGCTGTTAATTGGTCAAAGATTTCGAATCCGCGAAGCAGCGGGGGTGTCGACGCAAACGGCGCGGCAGCACATGTAACGATACGCACAGGCAGGCGCGCATTTATGATATTCGTCAACGGTTAGCATTCACACTTTGACTACTGCGGCTCGCTGAGCGGTGGTGAGCGTCTTGTTGGTGTCCATCGTTGCGTTTGCAACAGGCGGAACGCAAGACTTCGCTTCTTTTCGGGGCCAACTGGCTGATGACGCTCATTATGCTTGACTATATCCAGCAAAAAAGTACTTTTAGCGGGCCAGCGACACCCACGAACGTGACTGGAGGTTGAGGTCGTCCAGAGAATTCATGCGGTTACGTATGTCGCAAAATGTCAATGTCGGTTCGGCATAAAAGGGACAGAAAATGGCGCGCGAGTCCATTTTGCCATCGCGACTTACCAGGAACCATTCCAGCCAGCGTGGAAGTCGGGTAACTGCCCTGGCCTGTGGGTGGAACGTGAGGGGGGTACCCGGGTAACGTTGTGTTGGCCATGTCGCGACCTGAGCACGACAGAAACGACAAAAGAACGACATCTGCCTCGTTAGGACGTCAGGAAATAGCAAGAAAGTTTGAAATCTGGAAACCATACCAGAGCGTGTTTGTTTTTTTTCTTCCCAGGCCGGATGCTACTTGAAGCTTAAACATTTTTTTGGGGGGTAACTGGAGTGTTTTTTGCAGTCGTTTTTAACAAGAGATGTATAAATAGTCTTTCTATGAGCATTTCTTTTTCATATGTTGCTTGTCAAACATTGATCGGAATCACAACAAAACGAATGCGATCATTTTTTTTTTTTTTTAGGAAACTAAACGAAGTAAAAAAGAAAAAAAAAAAAACCCCGGAATGAATGAAATGATAAGGCCTATTTTTGCCTACCAGGCTAAATTTTAAATGAGACTTGAACAAGCACAAGTGCCCGAGAACAGATTCAGATGTTCAATACCACTGCAAAAAAGTGCTCCGCGTCAGGAGAATTTTGCGAGCGACGTTTCGTCCGGCTCTGCTGCGGCCTTCGGCCTTTCGGGGGATCGAGCCCGCCCGCGGGCCCCCTCTGCCGAGCGCGCATATTCAGCTCCGTAATTGAGAGTGACGGTTCGGGTCGTCCTGGCTGGCCCGCGGGGGAGGTTTTTATGGAGCGCGGCGCGTAACCTCAATCTGCACAGGCGCCATTGTGGACCGGTGGCCCCGCTAGATTGTGGCGGCGAGGGCTCAAAAAGGGGGAACGAGAAAGGGGTTGCAAGGGGAGAGGGAAAGACTCTCTCCATGGAACTTTAATGAGGACAGGATGCCATTAAAGAAAAAAAGAAAGGGTCATCTCTGGATGAAGCCTTGGCGTTTGAAATCGTTGAGCTGTTGAGACTTCAGACAGAGCGAAGAGGTGGTGAGTAGCTCAACACGACTTGTGAAATGCACCCATACTTTTGATTGATTGAAAGAATCCCGTTTTGGCGATTGTCCTGCTTTTCAGGTCGTGGAAACGCCAGCTTTGGGAACTTTTCCAAGTGCTCATCCGAAAACCTCAAATCTTGATGCCTGTGTGGCTCTGAAAGTCGTATGACCTCACAAAGTGGATCAGGGGGGCGCCCGACTTTTGCAAACCCAGCTACTGTACTACTTCGCGCGAAGGGCTCCCGGTTTGAGCCGCACTTCTCACCTCCCGAGCATTGCGATTAGTCACAGAGCTTCGTCTCTGCGGAGGAAGCGGACACAATATCAAACAACAGAAATTGCAATCATCTCGGCCCTCGTCCCAACCTCCCGCGCGGTACTTTGCACACCACCGAGACGTTCCTCGGCAGAGGTCATCAACAGCGACTGCAAATGATCCCTAAGACCCGGTCAGGAGTTGAGCTCCCTACAAATCGGGCCGTTCCCTCTCTGGCGCGGAACTCCGTTTTGGACTTTGCAATCGCAACGCTTTGGCAAAGACGAAACAATCCTGGGAAGTTTTGAGCATGACAACAACGAGCGCAGCGGCAAAACTTCATCTTCATTTGGCAGCGGCGCAAGGCCATTAGCGCCTGCCTCTTTAGCGCCAGCCAGTCGAGCGTGTCGGGGACACCTTCATGTTCGCCGCAACAACCGCAAATCTTTGACCTCCATCTTTGAGGCGTTTCACGAGCCAGAAAACGGGGATTGGGGTGGGGGGCGGGGGGGGCAACTCCCAGCATCCTAATTAATTACAAGGGAGTAAAGAATGTTTGGCGAGCCAAATGACTTGAAATCCCCAAACACTGGCTGAAAGTCGCTCATGATCAAACGATCAACTTTGTTGCACGTCACTTTCGGTCACGTCGTTTGCAGACAAAAAAATTTTGAAGTCCAAGGATTGCGGTTTGTGTCATTCACACCTGCGGCGACGGCCTTTCGAGGCCCGCGCGAGCGGGCCCGGCGGGGAAGGACGGCACCCCCCCCCCCCCACCCCCTTTTTCCCTT